GTCCACAGGCCGGTGCTCTATCCACTGAGCCAATCTTGTTAGGGCTGTCTTCCACGTTTATCTGTAATGTTTTAATTGTAGATCCAATTGCTTTGCTACCCAGGTTCTTTTGGGGATGGTGGTACTGATGTGATCTCTCAGGTCTCCTGGGCTTGGTAGTTTAGCGTAGCTACCTTCTTGTGCTATTTGGGTTCTCTTGATGTAGGCCTGTTAGCTGGAAATGAGCATCTGCGGTGTCTAGAAGTCAGCAGCAGTCATGGAGGGTGGTGTCCCAATTTTTGCTGTCTTAGGCCCTTGGTTGAAATCGCACATGCCCAGCAGGGACTCACGGTAGCACTGGAAAAGCATACAACTGTAGTGTCCTGAGTTCTGTAGCTGTGGGGTGGGAAGACTCAGTTTTTGCTGCTGCACCTGTGTTGGATAGGCACGTGCTCCCAGTGGCGGCTCACAGGGGTATCAGCAGTGCGTTTTCCAGCGTGGTGTATTGAAGCACTCTGAAGGGCCCTGGCACTGAAGCTACGTAATTGAGGCATCTGTGGATAGGTATCCAGGGTGAGTGAATTCAGAATTTCCACTGCCGGGTGAAGTGCATCCCTGTTTGTCCAAGATCGCACCTAGCGCGGGCTTGCAGGCTCCCACAAGCGCCCTGTGTGTAGATGGGCTCTGGGTGCCTGTTCATTGGAAATGCACGACTGTGGCAGTGCATTTGCTGGCACAGAGCTCTAACTCACTCTGAGGGGCCCTGGACCTAAAGATGCTTAGCTGGGCTGTCTGTGGGCAGTTATTCAGGAAGAGGGAATTCAGAATTTCTACTGTGAGGCAGCATACCCTTGTCTGTTCAAAATCCTACCCAGCAGGAGTTCACAGCGGCATTCCAAGAGCTGTCTATGGAGTGGTGTGCCCTGGAAGTCTGCGCGCTGGAAATGCATGAATGTTGGAAACATGCGAATGTTGGAAATGCATGAATGTGATGTCTACAGTTCTGCTGCTGGGGAGGGAGGTGTTGCACTTACTCCTGTGGGAGCGGTGCACCTTTGGAGTTGGAAGTCCCAGGGTTCGCGGGTCTGTGGGTGGGGCATCAGGATTTTGGCTGGAGTGGCTGCTGGGCAGTGTCCAAGGCCTGTCTGGGTGGTGGTACTGATGAGTTCCTAGAAGAAGCCGCTCTCCCCTTCATGATAATGTGGGATCCGTGCCGAGTCCCGCAATTCAGGGAGTGTCTACAGCAGTGGTAGTCTCTCCCTGTCCCAGAGAGCCTGCTCTGCCAGCCTCTGTTGCTCCTGCTGGATTTAACTGTCCTTCACTCACTCACACACACACCACACACATCCACACACTCTCCTTTCATCCCCTCAATTACTCGCTTCCTATCCCTCATCCTCATCTTGCCAGCCGCTATCTTTTTTTCCCAATCATTGTGTAACAGCATGCCATATAGCCTCCAATTGCTTGATTTTTTTTGATTTTTTTCATTGTTTTCATTATAGTTGATTTCTAATTTTATGCCATTGTGATGTGAGAAGATGCTTGATATGATTTCTATCTTCTTGAATTTGAAGAGACTGCCTGTGATCCAATATGTGGTATATCTTTGAAAATGTCATGTGGGGAACTGGGGGTGGGTGGCATAGGATTAGATAGTTTACTGGTGGCTTCTCTTTAGAGGAATATATATTTTTTAGCTTTGAGGTGAAATGTTCTGAAGATGTAAATTAAGTCCATCTGATCTAGTGATTCATTTAGGATTGTTGTTTCTTTGTTGATTTTTTATTTAGAGGATTTATCCAATGGTGTCAATGAGGTATTAAAGACCCCTAATATGATTGTATTGCTGTCAATTTCTCCCTTTATATCTTCCAGAAGTTGTTTTATGTATTTGGGTGCTCCTATATTAGGTGCATGTATATTTACCAACTTATATCCTTTTGTTGAATTTCTCCCTTTAATATTATGAAGTGGCCATCTTTATCTTTTGTTATGCCCTTTACTTTGAGGTCTATTTTGTCAGATAAAAGTATTAATACTCCAGCTTTTTTCTCCCTTTCTATTTGCTTGAAAAATTTTTTTCTATCACTTCACTATCAGTCTGTGTGTCCTTTGTTCTGAGGTGGATCTCTTGTAGATAGCAAATATATGGATTATATTTTCTTATCCATTCAGCTACCCTATGTCTTTTAATTGGAGCATTTAATCCATTTATGTTTAAGGTTATTATTATGGTACTTGTTTGTTGTCATTTTATTTTTTTTGGGTTTTATTTTATTTTATTAGATGTTTATTGTTCAGATTATTATATTTGTTCCTCTTTTCCCCCCTCATAACTCCCCTCCTACCAGTCCCCGCCCCACCCTCCGGCCTCACTCCCCACCCACTGTCCTCATCCGTAGGTGCACGATTTTTCTCCAGTCTCTTCCCGCATCTCCCACACCCCTGTCCCCCTCAAGAATAGTCAGTCCATTCCCTTTCTATGTACCTGATTCTATTATAATCACC